TGTTTTATGATCCAGGGTGTCACTCCCTTGCATGTCATGCTCTTTGCGCTCCTCCACACCTCCTGTGTGTCTTGGCTGTTGCTGCACCCACTTCATTTTTCAGAGGTTGTGTCAGGTGTCATCTTCTCCATGAATGCTTTCCTGAAATCAGCCTCCTTGTGAGCAAGCATCTAAGTCTCTCTTTGTTGCCTCAACTGTATTATAAGAATATTTGCCATGATTTCTGTAATTCATACTGTATTCCTTTATTTATATTTGTCTACTTCTACTGTGCTGAAAAATCCTTGAGAGCTGGAGGACATCTTATTAATTCTTATATACCCTCCATACTGCCTGACACATGATAGGTACTCAATAAATGTATGTAAGTGAATGAAATAAGAAATATGGAGAAACTACAGTAAGGTATCTTAATTGGTGACAATTAATTCTGACTAGCACTAGGAAGAACTAGGGGTTGGGAAATGTTACTCAAAGATTCTAAATTAGAGACCAGTTAACACATGTATTTCTGCAATAGAGATAGCCCTCACTATCTGAACTCTTGCTATCAAAATATTCACTATAACATTATGCAGAAATTTTCACCCAAAATTTACTATCCAAATAGGAATTCTACTGTAACATGTTTATATTACTGCAACAATGGAAATGTTTAAGTTGTAGGTGAGTCTGTGTAGGAGGATGCAGAGTAATCTTCTATCATTGCTCAGCAGTTCACTCCAAGATTGTGTCAATGTTTTCTAAATGGACAAGCTTATGAAGGAAGTCGGTGAGCACAAAAAGTCTAGAAAATCCCATGCATTAAAAAGAATATTGGAGGGATAAAATATATTGAATGAGGTGAACACATAAAAGACATAAGCTTGGTCATGCATATACCTCCATCTATAATGCAGAGGCTTTGTTATACTTGTGAGAACATTCAAAACAATATTATATTACTAGTTTTGGAAACCTTTGCTGAGATATTCAAGGATAATATGGTCTGTTTGAAAAGCTTGAAAAGTATCTCATGCAGTGGATAGATAATCATAAACTTTGAAACCATGAGGCACTACATACCTTTGAACATGTGAAGAAGAAGATGAAAGAGTTTGATCATTTGGTAAAGAAGTCAAGCTTCAGCTTCAAGTCCAGAATGGAATAGAAGGATTTAACGACTATGCAGGACAGCAGCATTTGAAGATTGTAGAGGAAGCAGCTTCTTGGTAATGAACTTACAGCAGTTTTTATCACTGAATTAGCGAAAACTATTGACAGAGGTAGCTAACAACGTTTTCATTAATACCAATTCTCTTGGTAAAATTTGGCTTTTAAAAATGAATGCCATCTTATCAGAGAAAAAAAAAAAAAAGAGCCAGGGCATCGCACATCTGAAGATAGGCTGACACAATTTTTAAGTGAAAATTTAAAGTTGATGTTAAACTAAAACCTATGTGTTTGTATAACTCTGAGCATCCAGAGCCCTTAGTTGAAGAGTAAATTGTATTTTATATGGTTCTCAAATCGTAACACTTTGGTTGACAAAGCAGGCATTCAGTCATTATACAAGGAGTCATAATTTGTGACAGTTCATTTCTTTGGGGTGTAGAGTCTTACAAAAACATAAAGAGTTAAGGTTGAGATTTGAGTTAATTTTTGTTTAATAAAATAAAGAGCTGATGAAGAAATTGTTGAGTAGGTGCTGCTGTGAAGAAAGATAGTTTGGATGATAAACTAAGAAAAGGCGTTTTTGTTTGTTTTTCATCTCAGCATGGATATTAGAACTGTTTTTTAATCCTTAATTCTTTTTTGCCAGTGGTGACATAATCCCTTTGCGTGGGGGTGGGGGGGAGCACTGTGTGCCTTCACAGGCTGTGGCTTCTTTGAGTCTTTGGTGATACTCTGATGGTTAGAGGCACTTTCTGGTTAGATCCCAAACATGGAAGTTCCTTCAGGTTTCAGTTTTATTTATTTATTTGTTTTATTTTTATTTATTTATTTTTTTAAAGATTTTATTTATTTATTTGACAGAGAGAGACACAGCGAGAGAGGGAACACAAGCAGGGGGAGTGGGAGAGGGAGAAGCAGGCTCTCTGCAGAGCAGGGAGCCCGATGCGGGACTCGATCCCAGGACCCTGGGATCATGACCTGAGCTGAAGGCAGTCGCTTAACCAACTGAGCCACCCAGGCGCCCCAGGTTTCAGTTTTAATTAAGAATGTCTGTCCCTGCAAAATGAAAGTCAAAAGCTCTTCGGGAAAAGTCAGTTCTCCAAGCTTGTTGAAAGGACTTGTTTAAGAGAAGTGGTTGGATTTTGATCATGTTGGGTCTTTTCATTTTTTTTTTTAAAGATTTTATTTATTTGACAGAGAGAGACACAGTGAGAGAGGGAACACAAGCAGGGGGAGTGGGAGAGGGAGAAGCAGGCTCTCCGCCAAGCAGGGAGCCCGATGCAGGGCTCGATCCCAGGACTCTGGATCATGACCTGAGCAGAAGGCAGACACTTAACGACTGAGCCACCCAGGTGCCCCATGTTGGGTCTTTTCAAATAATGCCCAAAAGAAGAAAATACTTGCCTAAGCAAAGAGTGACATGCACATATTTTTCTGGTGTATGTATCTGTATCTGTGAAAAATGTATTACTCCAGGCTGCTATATTCCCTAAGAAAAGGTATCGCCTACATGTCAGGGCTGACTAGTGATTATCAATAGGACACTCTTACCTTTTAAATTTCTTTTAAATTTCCTTAAGTAGGCTGTGTTTTTCTTATATTGATTATCTCTTATATAGAAGCCTTCATTGTTAAACAGAAGAAAAATCAATTATTTGCATGACTATAATAATATAGCAGTTCAACTAAAATCAATTTAACAGATATTTATTGGCTCTTTATTCTAGATAATAAACTGCACTATGTAGTAGAGGGATGAAAAAAAGATGTAAGATACAATTATTGCTTTGAGAATTAGTAGGACCCAGATAAGTGAATGCATCATATTGGATTTCTTTTGTTTTTGTAGTTATTCTAAAATATTATCTACAAATAAATACATTTTAAATAAATATTACTATGTCCTCTCTCCGTTTATCTATTTGTTATAACATAAGGGTGCTCTACTACCCCTGTGGCCAGAAACTTCAAATTCCATATTTCTTAAGTAAATGACTATTTTTTTAAGCAGTTAAATAATTTAATATAATACTAACCTACCTTTAGCGGATAAGCCATAACACTAATGAAATATAAATATTACAACAGAAATATGTATATCATGAAAATGATACAAATATGAAGGGGACACACATTCTACCTAATTTTAAATTGTGGGATGTTGATACTTGAGCTGGACTCTTCAGGACAAATACATTTTCTGGACAGGTAAGGGACAGACATTGCTGGAAGTGGGAACGTAATGATCAGTGTGTTCATTCTGAGCAAACAGGCATGGAAGTGTTTAGTTTATTTGATGAGGAACCAGACACAGATGTGGCCAGGGCTTCGGAAGCAGGAAGGGTGGGGTAACTTGAGATGAGGATTAACAAGGTGACACAGGCTGAACCCTGAAGGGCCTTAAGCAGTGCCTGTAAAGCCTTCAGGAAAGCTGAAGCAGCTGAAAGCAGCAATAAGTATATGTTACATTCCTAAAATGCATTGTGTCTGTGGCTGGTTTTCCTCACTTCTCCCAAGTTACTTCTGAATGTGTAAGTGCTTATGTTCTGAAAGTACAGAAAGATTCATTAAGTGCCCCTACGATACTTTTTTACTTGAAACATTTATTTAGGGGGAAAAAAAAAACCAATCTGCTGCTTTGTTTCTTTCTGTTTTTAATTAAACTGAGTCTTGGCAGTCATTTCTGCGGGGCTTTCCACATGGGACTGAACCTTTAGTGACTCATCAAAATTTGTTGTAAATTCTAAAAACACTAGGCAGTTTAGATATATCATGCTTTTTTTTAAAGCCTCATTTATTTAGTGCTACCCTTGAGCACAATAATGTATACCTGAAAACCTTGAGTTTTACACTGAGAATTCAATTTAATATGTTTGACCGGTTCCAAGGTACAGTGTGCTGTGCTAGGCCTCCAGTAGAGGGTGAAAACAAACCCACTGAACAGTAGTAATCCCACCTGAACGTAGACAAGCCAGAAAATATAGGACAGACCATATGGAAGAGGATCCCAAGTGTAAAATCTACGTGGAATGACTGTTCGCTTGGAATGACTATGTCTAAGCAAGGAGTTTGCATCTGTAAGTGCTTTGCCTTGGTAAAATTAATTTGTGCTATGGATTAGGGGTCAGAGACAAGTTTGAAGGCCACTGCAACCATTTCCAGCCAGTGATTTGTAAACTGTGTACCAGAGGACACGAGTGCTGAGGGAAGTAGGAGTGCTTATTTTCCAAACATCAACATGCTGCTTATCAAACACTAAGGATTTTATTTTATTTTTGAGAGAAAGAGAGCGAGAGAAACGTGTGTACGCATGCGAGGGTGGGTGGTGGGGCGTCTGGGGGCAGAGGGAGAGAGAGAGAATCTTAAGCAGGTGCCGCTCCCAGCACAGAGCCCGTCGCCGTTGCCGCAGAGCGCTGTAAGATCATGACCCTGAGATCATGGCCTGAGCTGAAATAAAAAAGTCGGACGCTTAACCAAATGAGCCACTCAGGCACCCCAAGCACTTACGATTTTAAACTGCCCAAAGACGAAAGGCACAGCCTAGGGGATATAGTCAGCGACGCTGTGAGAGCACCGTATGGGGACAGCTGGTGGGGAGTAGAGGGTAAAGTACAGAGCTGTCCAATCACTCTGTGGTGCACCTGAAACCAATGTAACACTGGGTGTCAACTATACTTCAGTTCAAAAAAAAAAAAAAAAACTCACCCATAGGAAAAAAAATGAACTATCTAAGGAACCTTTTAAAACTCTTTTCTTCAATTAAGATGTCAGCCATTGGTCCTTCTTAAGATTTTAAAATATTGCCTTCATTAATTTTTAGTTGCTTTAAAAATCTGAAAAAAAAAAGTTTTATGCAATGGCAGTATCGTGGCCAGTGAGGTTTATCCGAGGCATGATTATTGCTAATTAAAAATCTGAAAAAAACCTTGGTCAAGACAGAAGACAGTCAGGGCTTGAACATGGGTGATGGTAATAGGGATAAAAAGGAGACAATGACTGAAAGAGATGTTACTGAGCAGTGAAAACAAACACAAAATTGGGCAACTGTTTAATAAATAATTCAGAATGATGATTCTGGAAGTCAGGAAAAAGGATGAGGTACATAGAAATCTGTTAATTATCCACTAGGAAAATCAAAGTTAAACAGAACTTTGGAGAATAGCCACATAAAGGAAATGGGAGAAAGATGATGGCTCAGTGAAGAGCAGAGTGGGTGGGGGAGCCTGGCTGCTTCAGCATCCTGGAAGTCAAGGAAGGAGTGTCCAGAACGAGTGGACAGAGAGAGTGGAGTCTGACGGAGGCTACTGGAATTAGTAGTTACGTATGGGCCAGTTGACGGGTGATCAGAATATTGGGATAAAAACTGGCAAGCAAAAGTGGGTAGTAAGAAGGGGAAGGCGATGGATGCAGAGGAGCGGTTTGTGGAGTTGGTCAGCAAAGGGAAGACATAAGAGAAAGGACTAGTTTGAAGTCATAGCTGAGACAAGGAAAGGTTGTATACTATCAGGGACGGGAAGGAAGAAGGCCAGGAAGAGGAAGAGAGGGAAGAGGCCACAGAGAAGCTTATGATTACATTACAGTTCAAGAGACATTGAGATCAAAGCACAAAAGCATGGTGGAAAAGGTATCTTTGTAGTTTATATAAAAATAAAATGATTTTATTCTCAGAGAATTGTAACAATATCTGGTATAATCAGTTATTCTGAAGAAAAAAATCCTAAACTGCTTTAAGGTGATCTTTGTTTAGTGTGATGATTTATCTAAGAATTACTGTAAGGTCCAGAACCCTTTATTTCTCTGGCTATGAATGGTAAATACTTCCTGTAAGTTGAACACAGGGGATATTTCTGAAGTGGGTACTTAGGATAATCATAAATATAGCCAAGTCTCTGTGATAAATGCTTTTAGACCAATTATTGACATGCTCAATTGAATACTAATGCCTCCCATGAAATGGCTTTAATATAAGTAAAATGACAGGTGCTGTGCAGTAAAAGGACACATAAAGCTTTGCATTAGCTTGTCTCCAGGGTTACCATCTGTGCTGATCTGAAGTTTTAATACATGGGATTTCTCAACGCTCTGCAAAGACTATATTTTCAGGCTAGGTATCAGAAGTGTGTAAAAACAACTTGGGAGCGGGGCGCCTGGGTGGCTCAGCCATTTAGCGTCTGCCTTCGGCTCAGGTCGTGATCCCAGGGTCCTGGGATCGAGTCCCGCATCGGGTTCCTTGCTCGGCGGGGAAGCCTGCTTCTCCCTCTCCCACTCCCCCTGCTTGTGTTCCCTCTCTCGCTGTCTCTCTCTCTCTCTCTGTCAAAAAAATAAATAAAAATCTTTAAAAAAAAAAAAAAACAACAACTTGGGAGGAATTTACACTATTTGGTCTGCATCCGTGATGACTTTAGCCACTCAGTTGTTCTAGAGAAACACGTCTGTATCCTGTTAGAAAGTCTGTGTGATGATTGCTGATGTGGCTAGAATATCAGGATTGATTGACCCTATTCTGCATATCCAAGCAAAGATGTTAGTTTATGTATTTACTACTAAATGATATTCTGGACAAAATTGAGTAGCAAAACATTTGAAAAATGGAATGACTTCTACCAAGTTTCCATAATTAATATTCCATAATTAATATCCAAGTTTCAAAAAATATTAAAATTTTTTTAAAAAAGTAATAACATTTGAAATTTGGAACCCATAAATATAAAAAATAAAAGAAATGATATTTTTATAATTTAGAAGGAAAAGGGACACTGCTTTTACTTCAGCAATCTGTAGAATTTTACATTTCTTGATTTCAGATATTTCTTCTTTTTTTTTCAGCAAACATTTATTGAGGACCTTCTTTGTCCCAGGTATGAGGCTAGGCCTTGGGTTTGCCAGGTTATATTGAGATTTTCTCTCTGTCTTGCAATTTAGAGGGAAATACAGACCTGCATTAACGAAGTAAACCACTATTTTTAAACATCATCATGCATTTGGAGCAAGGTGTTATGAGAGAGCATAGGGGGCTACACCTACCAAGTATTGGGAAAGTTTGGACAAAACACTGTCTATGTTGAGTTGTAATGATTTGGAAGTTAGCCCAGCAGAGGGGGAAAGGGATATGTGTATAATATGCAATGGGACTAGCATGTGAATGGAATGGCTAAGCTAAAGAGACACAGGTGGATTCAGGAAAATCCAAGTCCATTTAGCTGAAATAGAGTGGCTTGTGGGGGGTGGGGTTGAGAAACAGTGGTGGGGCCTCAGTGAGAGAGGAAGGCTGGAAGGGAAGCAGGTGTTAAATCATGTCAAGTCTTATAAACTATCTCAAGGAATTAGGGCTTTAATGTGGGGGCAAATAGAGCAATTAATGGATACTGGGACAAATTTATTATCATCACAATCTCCTCCTTCATTATTGTCATCATCATTGGCATTATCATTTTTTTAAGATTTTACTTATTTATAGACAGAGAGAGGGAGAGCACAAGCAGGGGGAGGGGCAGGCAGAGGGAGAGGGAGAAGCAGGCTCCCCGCTGAGCAAGGACCCTGGGATCATGACCTGAGCCAAAGGCAGACGCCTAACCAACTGAGCCACCCAGCGGCCCCAGCATTATCATTTTTTGAACTCTTCCTGTGTGCCAGGCAATATTAAGTCCTTTCATGCATTTTTTTTTTTTTTACTTTTCACTATGACCTTCCTTATAAGTACTATTAACATTTCTATTTTATTTTATTTTTAAAGATTTTATTTATTTGACAGAGAGAGACACAGCGAGAGAGGGAACACAAGCAGGGGGAGTGGGAGAGGGAGAAGCAGGCTTCCCGCTGAGCAGGGAGCCCGATGCGGGGCTCGATCCCAAGACCCTGGGATCATGACCTGAGCCGAAGGCAGATGCTTAACGACTGAGCCACCCAGGTGCCCCAACATTTCTTTCTTTCTTTCTTTTTTTTTTTTAAATAAAGGAACAAGCAAGGGAATGTACTTAATTTTCTTGAGGCCAGAAGTTAGCAAGAAGCATAGCTGGAAATCATGCCCAGGTTTTTCTGACGTCACCATCCCTGCCTCTCTGTTCTGCTGCTCTTCCCTAGAAAATGACTGCATCCCACAAGGAGCCCTCAGCCTGTAGTGTGCTACAGAAGAATGTTTTAGATGAGAACTAAATAAAGTGGGGCTACTTATAAGGTCATTGTTATTATGCAGGCATGAGATCGTGGACACTGGTGGTACGAATGGAGAAAAGTGGCCATATTCTAAAGATATCACAGAGGTAGAATAACCAGGCCTAGTGCCTAATTGGATGTGTGGAACAATATTTCTGGCTTGGAATATTGAATATACTTCAGGAAGTGTATTTATAAAATCTGCCTGGCTTATTGGTACTCTAAAAAGCAGGAATGCCAGAATGATTAAGCTTATACATTGCTGGTAGGATTGTAAACTGGTACACCTTCTATGAAAGGCAATCTACCAGTTTCTTTAAAATTAAAAATATGCATAGATTTGACCCAGAAATTTTACTTCCAGGTATTTATCCACAAACGTGCATTTACATTGTATCTTATATATAAGGATATACACTGCAGCCTTGCATGTAATTGCAAATATCAGAAGCAAACTAAATCTCCTTTAGTATGAGATGAGCTAATAAATTAGGGTAAATCCATTCAGTGAAATGATATACAACTTAGAGGTTATGAGGCATCTCTGTGTGTGGACCCATAGGGAAATATTGTATATAGGCTTATGATTATGCATGTATGTGAAAATACAAAGTGCCAAAGAAAGTGTGTATAATAGGCTACCATTTTGTGAAGACTAAGTAGATGGATAGATGGGGAGATGAGTACATAGCTAGGAATAGTTTGGTATGGATAGAAATCCAGAGAATATCTCTATGAGGATAAGATACTGGTAGTAATAATTGTAGTGAAGGGGATCTGACTGGATGGCTGGGACAGAGGATAGGAAAGGGAGAACTGTGTATCTTCATTATATATCCTTTTGATTTTGCTCCATATGCATAGATTTATTATTTTAAAATTAACAAGATAATATAAATTATAAAAATTCAAGGCAGAACCCTCTTTTTAAAAATCTTATCTCTAGAGAAACATCTATAAGATAAAGGGAAAAGGCAAATTCTTAGCTTGGTTTTCTTGTTTATTTTAAGGATTTGTCCCTATATGTAACTAGAATTTTCACAAGAAAAAGAATATCTTTCCCCAATGATTGACTTATATTCTTCCAAATCTCTGGAGGTCCTGAAATTCATAATACAAATATGAGACTATAAGGAAAAAAGTTCATGTTCGAACCATTATTTTTTAGTCCTTCAAGTCGTATTGCTGCTAAAGTATCACATTTTTGTCCACTAGTTCATTGACAGCTGGAGAGTACTGGTACTTATCTAGATGCTTTGGAGATTGAACATAAAAAATAATTTTTGACCTTTTAAACTTAGTTTATTGAAGCAAGTAAAAATAACATACATGAAAAATTATGTACACATTTTTATGCTTAATATATTTTAATTACTAAATTGGATGTAAGTTCAGAAAGAGAGGAGATCAGAGAAGCCTGAGACTATGAGGCAAGAGTTCCTAGGATATGTGGGGCTTGTATTGATCCTTGAAGAATTTGGATACTTACAATTAGAGAAGAAAGAGAATGTCAGGCCACAGATTAAGAATCAGAACTTTGTAGTCTAGTCAGGGCACAGGAATGAGCATTTGAGCAAGCAAGCTCAACCAGAGTAGGGAAGCTAGGTTGGGAAATATTGGTATTAGTCCATAGGGAAACCAGAAAGCAAGGAAGAGGCCTTTGATCTGATAATAATAAGGAAACTACCCTGAAAAACTCAAAATGTTCTAGTATTTTTTTGATTATTCATTTTTCTAAAATTTATTTTGAATATTTAGCATAAAAAGTTTTTTCTCTACTTAATGCATTTTATTCTTCACTTTATGCCCATTATCGCTTATAACGCCCTT